CACTAGAGCTTCCTTCCACAGCAGGGCCCCCCGTGGCCTGTTTCCCGCCACCTTTTATGGTTTCTGAAAGCACACTCATAAGGGTATCAAAGCCAGAAAGATAAAGTAAGGATCTTTAAAGGGGTCATTTAATTTGAATTTCTGTGGTTCTTTTTTTAATCTCTGAACCTTTTCCATTGGTTAAAAGTCTTTGGTAATTCGGATATAGATGTATCTTTTTTTTTTTTCTTTTTTGAGACAGAGTCTCACTCTGTCGCCTGGGCTCGAATGCCATGGCATCAACCCAGACTGCAGCAACCTCAAATTCCTGGGCTCAAGCAATCCTTCTGCCTCAGCCTCCCAAGTAGCTGGGACTACAGACATGCGCCACCATGCGCAGCTAATTTTTTTCTATATATTTTTAGTTGTCCAGCCAATTTCTTTCTATTTTTTTTTTTTTTAATAGAGACGGGTTTTCACTCTTGCTCAGGAGGGTCTCGAACTCCTGAGCTCAAATGATCCACCCACCTTGGCCTCCCAGAATGCTAGGATTACAAGCGTGAGTCACCAAGCCCGGTCTTCATGTATCTTTTTGACAAGGATTTTTCCACATCACTCCCCTCCAGATAACTATTATTTATTACTAAACGTCTGCCACTCCCATTTATGACTCTTCTTTGCCTATCAACCCTGCTCTTGAAGTTCTTCATCTCCATATCCCTAACTTACCATCTCATTATCCTTCTCAATGGACTAACCAAGCAAAAACACCTATTTTTCTTCTCTTTCCTCTCATGGTACTTATAGCTTCCTTTAGTCATTAAGCTGGACTAAAATGTCACTACTGGGGCTTATCTGACTCCATTGCCCTTGCACCTCTCTTATTCTCTCGCTTGGTCAAATAGTCAAGACTCACTTCCTCAAAAGCTAAATTCCTACTTCTTCTCTACCAGGTAGGCTCAATTCTTACTGCAATAATTTGCTATGTTGCTTAACGCTCTGCAGTGATTTGACCTGTGCTCCAATAGCAACTTTACAAGAACTTTCTAGGCCAGAAGTCTTATCTCTTGCTACATATTTAATCTTTTCCTCTCCCGTTGCTGTCTCCCAAACCCCAAAAACAAGCAAACGAAGAAACACAATATGTTTCCCCCCTACCATTCCCTCCATTCTGCAACCACTTGAGTATCTTCTTCCCTCATAAAAACCTGATGTCTCATTTTACTCCATAACTCTTCTTCTACACTGCTCATTACACTGATGTTTTTGTTTCTGCTAACTTTGAAAAATTCTGGGCTGTTCGTTGGGTCTTCATTTTCTTGAATCTCTGTTCTATTTTATATTGTGGGCCAATTTCTGTGATTTTTCTCTTGTTCCTTGGCACCCTCCATTACCTACTTTAAAAATGCATTGATTTGTTTTTTCCTTCACTGCCTCCTCTTTATGTGGATTTGTTCATGTGCGATTTCCTTTTCCTTCTACCTTTATTCTTCACTGTTCAGCAACCTTCATTCTATATCTACTATATGCCATCAGAAATCAGATTGAATTCATAGTGTGGCTGCCTGAATGAATAACTGGGATTGGGAGGACCGATAAAGGAGTCTATAATGAGGCATGAAGAATCACTCTCCTATTTACTGAAGCCCAAGTAATACATCAATTTTTGTCCTTTTGTGCCTCCTCTTTCCAATGACCTTCCCACTGAACCTGTTTCTGAGGTCTCTGTCAGAACAAACTGCACTTTAGACTTCATGAATTTCCCATACTTCCTTATTCTGTATATGCACTCAACTCCTAAAATCCTACCCTACCTTCGTTCAAAACACATCTGTCCCCTAACAACTTTTCTCAGCCTTTGCTAATGGCTCAGATGTAAATAACCTTGCCTTTCTTTGAATCCCCACCAGATACCTTTTTGGTCTACACTATAGCTGGCTGCACGCTCATCTACCCCTTTGACTACAAACAACTTGAAGGCAGCCACTAAGTCTAATTTGTTTTTGCGTCCTCCATAATCCCTCACGGTTTCAGGCAGGTACTGGAGTCACTTCAAACACCTCAGTTCTTAAGAGTTTTTATTTAGATAGTATAAAACTATATACAAGAGTTCAATGGGTACCTAAGGCACAAAGATGTGAATCGTTGTTTGCAAGATCACAGAGAATCCAATTTAAACACAGACCTTAGGTTTCTTCATAGACTTCAGGCCTAAGCTGACTAAGTAAATCATTTAAAAAAAAAAGGAAATAGCAAGTCACACATTACACAGAAACTATAATGTTCACCATTGTCCGTTGTTTTTTAAGCCTGTGGAGCTGAGCTGGAGCAGTTATTTCCGCTGCCAAACTTCCAGCAGTTTAACACTTAAAAGTTGCCAGAGTGGTATGATGCCATCAGTTTTTAAAACTTAGAAAGGCTCATTGATTTTTACTAAGGGTTTCTTCCACAATCACTTCTTTTAAGGCCAAATGAGCCAACCATGATTGAGAGAAGTTACAGAATGAATAAATGTTATGGTATCAACATAAAAATTATTTAGTTTCCTTTGCTTACTTCAATTTCCAAATTTATTTCTGGCTTCCACTGCCACTAGTCATCGCCACCAAGGTGTAGCACAACACATTTTTACATTCCCACCCACCCAACTCCCTTTTATTGAACCCTCTGGCACAACCTTCATACCCAATTTCAGAGAAGGTAAATTAATTTCCTAATGCAATAAAGTGGCTCTCCAAAAAGCAAGACAACTTGGGATAGGACTTATTACCTACTTCTCAAGTAAGACAAATGTATGTCACACTAGGTTGGTTATAATAGCGGTTTTATTACAAGACTGGCAGAGTTACAGTAACTGTAAATCAAAACTGTTGTTAGATTTTTTTACTTTACATAGCTGTCGTTAGGAGTCTAACTCTTGTGAGCCAGAACAATTATTTTACAATTAGTTTAGACATGTCTGAGCCCAGAAGGAAAATTTCAATTTCAATCATCTTATTTTCCTTGAAAAGAATCTAGTGCTACCAAAAATCAGGTCAAGTCAACTTTTTACACATGAGTTTCTAGCCATTTTCCAAAGTTGAACAGGGTTATAAATGTAAATGCTCCAAAGTTTAGGTGTGTTTTCAAGCTGCAGTACAAAATGGCAATCGTGGGTTTCCAAGCACTAGACAAAAACAAACAAACAAACAAATAAGCTTGTAACCCCATTCTCAAGGTAGACATGGTCACCACCCTATGAAACATAATACACACCCCTAAATTTGGACTGCAAATCTATCACTTAAACATCTAGTAAATGACCCAATTTGTTTACATGGCCCTGTAGTTTTTTATGGCCTTTCCATAAAGAAGTTATTACATCCATTCCCTTTATTTTGTTTAAGAGTGTTTGAATGAGCCCCAGAACCACAAGCTAGTTAAACAAGCCTTCCTTAGATGGACGTGGTCTCATATAATTCACCACTACCGGGGAAATTTTCAGAACAATGTTTGTAGTTTTGAAACACCACACATTCCCACACACCAAAAGTATTTCCTGTGCTTCATGCAGTTTTAAATGTTCGGCAGATATATTAAATAAAGTCCTATTTTTCCATTTTTCCAAGTAAACTTGTGGCATTTGCACTTCTTCCAGAAGATTTGCACCTCTGAGTGTTTTGCTATGGTAGGTTGGCCATTCAGAAAATGACTGCAAACAAAGATTGCAAGGGAAATGTAAAATCCAGACACCCTAATTGATTTCCTAGGATGTAAATGTTAGTTCTAAAAGGAAACCATTTTAAAGCAGTTAGTTTAATGGGGTGCCCAAGTGATGGCTATTAAAAGTTATCAGTACAGATTAAAGATAAATTTTCTACCATGGAGAAAAAATTGTTTTTTAAATAAGCCTAGTGATGATTTAATTCCTAATTTTACATTCTTTAACCCGGCTTTAAACCTCAAGACTGCTAATATTCTCAAGAAAACACCAAGGAAAACCACTTTTTAAAGGGTTAGCATTTATCAATTGAATACTTACACTCAGCATCTCTCAAAATCCTTGGCCAGAGTCTGACCTGGGAAACACCGCTAATTTTAGACGGCTGCATTTTGTAGAAACAGTCAGACAGTTTTGACTACAGTGACTAACACAAAGCAAAGATACAATTAAACCCATCATACATATCTCCAATGTATATACAACTGCATCTGAAACTATACAAACAGTAATATGCTGTAAGGTCTAGTCTTTTATATGGTAGAGACAATTCATTTTCATTTAGAGCTTCAGAAATAGTGTACTTTTGTTTACAAGTAAAGTCAGGAACAAAATGCATAGTTATAGAGACATTGCTGCTTACTGAAGAGAAAGTATTCCCTAATAACTTTTATTACCTACAACATCAACGTATTTCCAGCAGAGATTTGCTTCCAGGACACGCCACCTCTGGCTACGGATGTGCAGAAATATTCTTTTCATACCAGCATCATCCAACTTTTTTCCTTGTTTTCTAAACAAGAAGTTGAGCTGAATTTTATCTGGTATTTGCATGGGTACTCCAATAGCAAATCACACTCTAGTAAGAAAGAATCTTTAGTATGTTTCCATAGAGCAGTTTAAAAACACTAGGAGTTACTAGTTTGTTACTAGTTACTAGGAATGTTTTTCCTATGTTCTTAAACAATCTGCACCCTACTTATCGTGTCTCAGGTTTAAAGTATAATAAATCAGAAATGAACACTGTATGTTCCCTTTTTCCCCAAAAGTCACTAGGAAATTTCTGGTAAGGAAAATGAATACTTCTTTCTTCTAATCTTCCATTTTAAGCAAATGTTCCTTCTTGGTATACTGATTCTAAATATCTCCTAGTGCCATAAAAAATAAATTATAAAGCTTTAATGACTCCCAATTTGCATTTCTAATCACCCTAGACTGTGAATATATGTAGCAGAAATGGAAACAAGCTGTGATTTATTCCTCAGTAGGAAAAAAAGATAAATAAGATGATTGTTTAAAAGATAGATGTCCTTATACATACCCAGCAAAAATAAGTGCCAAAAACAACACGAGATAAGTACCACATAAGTCCAACTTCTGTTGTTAATGGTTTCTGATCTTTGTAGTGACTCAAAAGGCAGGTACAACAGCCAACTGGGCATATTTAAGCACAGAGCATATCTCTATTGTGCAAACACTGAAATGCTTAAAATAGTATCCACTCATGAACAAGGATTTCCTAGAACACAAATAGCATAGCTTAAAAAAAAAAAAAATGGCACAGCATCAAGATAACACATCCACCAAGAGAACTCAGTCTTTTCAAATCCTTAAATACTATACAACATTTCTAGCGTCATTACAAGGGACCAGAATGAACATCACTAGAGAACTGACACAGTTATTCAATGGAGAGTAACCTTATAGGAACTGATTTTCCACAAAACTTGAAATCATTTCCCTCAAAAGAGTTAAGGGCTGTTTTCTTTGCTTGCGATGAAACAGCTTCATTAAACTAATCGGTGTCCTGGAAGTGGCCTCCCTTTTATCACACTCCCCCCATTCCTCACCCAACCTCACTACATGCCTTCTATTTTGTGAATGAAGTGTGAAAATAGCTCTTTGTTTACATAAAGAAAGCAATCTAGAGTAGTGCGGACCCAGGCTTAGCTTACAGCAGTGGAAATGAGGCTGTACAGGCTGCCCTTCTAACCAGTTCAGAACTTCCAATTGTACTTAATGACTAAAAAGCATTCCAGCAATATACACCGTTCACTACACACACTGGAGCAGAACTCCACTACTGCATTCATTGCCTGCCCAGAAAATAATGGGAAAAAAGAAAGGGTTTTGACTGAATCTTAAATATGAAGACTTTTTCTTTTGTTCTGTTAACTGCCAACCTTGCAGCGAGCATACAGCACAGAGAGCATCAGGGCCCTCCCTGGAATGAGTCAGTCCAGAACACCCAGCCACTTGTTTCTGCCTTTACTCCTTCTCGATACTCCCTCTAGTCTAGACTCCTGTCTGTCACACACGATATGCCTCTTCTCTTCTTTTGTTCAGGCAGCTCCCTCTGCCTACAATGCTTTCCTCTTTTCCCTCTCAGACCCACTCCAAGATAGGTCACCTCCTCTGTGGGAATTTTTCTCCTTGAACTTCCTTTCCAGGCAAAATCAACCATGTAGTGTAAATCGACAGAGGATTTCTGAAGTGAAATAAAGCACTCTGTGTTCCAATAGCACTTTGGAGCACAAAACTAATAAACCATGAGGTAAAGCAAGGATCTGCCATCTTCCTCGGACAGAGTTTCTCTAGGGCAGGAACTGCATCTTCTTCTTTGTGTACCCAGCACCTAGGGCAAAGCTTAGCAAAGAACAGATGCTCATAAATATTTGCTGAATGAAAACAATGTTCTAATAAAACATTAGACCATTTAACTTATGAAGGAAGAGGCACGTGGCTCTGAGTCTTGGCTTGGAGTCAGACCAAGGTCCAAACATTTACCAGCTGTGGGACCTTAGCTAAGCTACTTAGCCAATGAAGCCTGGGTGTTTTTTCTAATACCTCAGGGGGAGTTTATAAACTGTATACTGTCTGCAAACACTGAGCACAAATGTGGCACCTAACAGGCACTCCTGGGGAGTCATTATCAAGCATTACAAAACGAGAGGCTCACTCACAGCCCTTTAGACCCATCCAACTACCCTCAAATAATGCATCTAAATACTGCTGCCCTGGGTCCTTCTTGGTAGCAATTACTGGTTTATCAGGACATGGTGTACACAGTAGCACAGCAAAACCTACCTCCTTAGTACCATTAATGGGCCTTGTGCTGTTTGAGGATTTCCCTCAAGGAAACAGACTTGCACTTTGCTTCTGCCCCTCAAACCCCAGCAACAACCCAACACATACCTCCCTGGACTAAGAAACAACTTACCTACTATTCAAAAGGAAAAATGACAAGTACAAAAAAAATCATGGTTTAAAAGTAAAAAAAGAAATGAAGCAGAACCCCAAAAAAAACAAATTTTGTGAAGCCAACCTAGCAAAGATGGTTTGGTTTAGAAACAAAGCAAATGACCAGTGAGAAGGCCACTCAGTCACCAGGGGACTAGAAAAAGCTGCTTAAAGATGGCACATGAAGTCTAATGAACAATCTGATGACAGGAACAATTAGCCAAACTAAATTTAAAATGTATTCCCATTAGGTATAAGATAAAATGAGTGAATACAACCAAAAATATCACACTTATAACAAACTGGCTTTAATGAAAAATGTAATTATTATAGCCACTCTTTAAAATTTTTAGCTCCCTTTGTTTTTGGATTAAGGAACTTTACAAACAAAATTTTTTAAAAGGTAAATTATTAATGTTTTAGGCAAGCCATTCAAATCCATAGGTCTGAATTTGTTTTCTGATGCTCTTGACCTTAAAGAGAAATGTGAATTTCTGAATAGAAAATCCTATATAATACTGTGTAAATAAAAGTTGAAATCATTCATCAGATCCACTTCAAAAAACGAATAGGCTGTGCTTTTTGGACTTAACTACATATGCTTATTTTTCATTTTCATGGCAATTTTTTTGCTGAGAAACACTGCTAAATAAAATGTTGAAATTATTGCCAACAAAAAAGCTCCCTTGTGGAAACAAGCATGCCAATATACCCATGTCAATCATCCTCTTCATCTTTATCAATTCACAAACCAAAATATTAACATAAACATCACTCATCTATGGGCCTGGTATACCTGCTTAAAATAAGGTTCTAACATATAATGGCATTCATTCTAATGGTAGTATTTCCAGGCATTTACCAGATTGTCAGATTTCTACACCAACAAAAGCATTAGGGTATATATCACCAGATTATCTGTTCCATTTAATGATTATTATGAGATTGTTTTTCTTAGTATTCCTATAAATAATGTTTTAGAAGCAACAGATTCCCACCTCGCCTTACAACCTGCAAAGCATGAAACACCTTAACATAATGAAGAAATGCTTTTATAAAAAGTGCCTGAATTTTGGAACTAGAATTGCATTTGCCTAACTGGTTCTCATATAAGGAAAAATAATATATCACCACAAACATTAGCTGTTTTATTACTGCAGCACTCAAGAGTTACCTTGACCAAGTCAAGCCACTTCCACTCTGTAGGCCTCAAATTGCACATCAGTGAGGATAAACTCTTGGGATCCTTCCATCTCTAACATTCCTGGCACTCTTGTTCCTGAGTTCTAGCCTGTGCAAGTTATCCATGAGCCACAAGCAAAAGATAGAAAGCACACAGATTTTGAAAGCCTGTCATCCCTTCACCATTCTCAAGTGTCGTTGGTCCATATCATACAACAATCCCCATCTTCAAAAACTATAAGGGTATGCACAGCAATGGCACTTCTGAAAGAGTAACCAAGTACCAGTTCTCGGAAACCCACCCACTTGCTTGGTACATGCTCACTTGGGAGCATGCTTATCTAGTGAGATTACAAAGTGGTACTCTGATTGGCACATCCCATCACTACCAACACAAGTGTACCCTTCTATGAAAAAAGTCAAACAGTGCGGAGGTTCCAAAGCCAAAAAGACATCTTCAAAGGGGACCTGTTGTTACAGTCAACACTATAGTCTTACTCTAATAATGCCCTACAACCAGAACCATCAACCATTTATCAGGCACGTACTATATGCCAAACTCTGTTCCAGGTGCTGGAGCTCCTACAGAGAGCAAGTCAGACAAGGCCCATGCTCTCAAGAAATGAGATTCTAGGGTGGAGGTTGAGGGTATAGGTACACCATAAATTAATTAATAAACAAAAAGAATATCAAAGAGTGATAGCGCTATGCAGTCAATTAACACTGATGAGATAGTGAGGGGTGGCTAATTTAGATTAAGTGGTCAGAAACAAGACTTCTCTGAGGAAGTGACCCATTTAATCAAGATGACAGGAAGTTGCTATCTGTGCAAAAGCAGCTGGTCAGTGCACAACTGAGGGTCGCAATCTCATGCCCAGCGTGCTATGTCACCTTTCCATCTTTCCCTAGCCCCTAACCCTGGAGGAGCTAAAACCCGAAGAGCTGAAGGAAGGAGACTTAAAATAAGTCACACCTTTTCCTTATTTCCAGATCCTTCAAGTCACAGGTCAGGCCTCTGCTGCCAAGCAGGGAGGAAAGCAGATAGAAGTTTTAACACCAATATAAACTAAACTGTCCACGCAGGTATAAGTGCCCAAATGCCAAGCAATCAGTATGGCAGGAACACTGATCCATCAAGACAGAGCCAGCAGGGTTGTAGGAGTATCCCAGAGGCCCTGAGCTGTGCCTGGCATTGCAGGTGATGGTTCATCAGATGGACAGTCCTTTTGTCACAGAGGAGTTAGCACTATCTCCTTCCCAACACATTAGAAATAATTCAATATTTTAACCATCTGTATAGTAGTTAGTAATGGTGCATATCAACTGCAAATCAACCACTAGATGTGTCCTTAGGAGATAAGAAAGGGAGATTTGAAGGAAAAAAAAAAAAAAACAGTTGGAGACAGTGCTGGAAAAAAATAATACAACCCAGAGATTGTTTCCACTTGATCTTAGTCAAACGGCTCAGAAGCAATAGCGACTACTTAATAAACAAGTTATGTAGATATTACATAGATTTATATAGTGATATTCTAGCTATGTATGATGCTTCCATATAAACAACTGGAAACATTAAAATTAAAGTAAGTAAATGAAGGGACTTTGATGATGATGTCTACCATTTTGGTTGATACAAATAGAAACCTATGGAGAAAATTTTAGCAATCTTGGCAGCATTTTTTTTTTTTTTTTGCTATGGGCATTAGGAATGTCTTGATTCATTATTACTTATTTAACACATCACATTATCATTATAATTTTGTTTCTACAGAAGGTGTGAAAGTTTATAGATAAAACTTAGACTCTTAGCAATGGTAAAGGTTGAAAAAACAGAGTGGAAGCAAATATTAAAGTAGATATGTAAGAAGTTTCAGTAAAGATGAAATAAGAAAAGACAAACTAAGATTTCAGTGCCTAAGACAGAACTCTATAAGATTTCTCACTGGGGAAAGTTTAGAGTTGGATTCTACCACCTGCTTGCAACTATTTGACAAATGATGTAACAATCTCAGAAGCTTCCTACAGAACTTTGTGCTTTCTGAATATATTTTGGAGGTAAATGCAAAGTATATCATCCATCCAATGTCAAAGATAACAGTTGGTAGGGAAGAAAAAGTTACCATATAATAGAATGGGCCTTTTTTTATCACCTATTGTGAAAAACAAAATTCATCATTATATAATGGCACTTTACTTATTCAACTTCCTCAACTATCTCCAACACAGCAGAGAACCAGGAGGAGGAAGTTTTTTTTTTTTGTTTTTTTTTTAAAGCCTCTAAACAAAAATAAATGTCACAAAGGTCACGCACTAAAACTTATAGAGACTTGCAGGAAAGTCCCTTTAGTCCTCAGTTAGAGCCTAATAACCACTGAACACTATTCTAAATATTGTGATTATTTGTTTTTTAGGAAAATAGAGCTTTGAAGCTGCCACCTAACAAGGACGGAACAGGGAGGGGTTGCGTACTGTTTTGCTAGATACAGGGACAGTGGCAGTAGTAGGAAGAGAAGGCTGACACTGACAAAAAGAGACAGAAAATCCATAAACACAAGATAAAGGCAAAAAGACATTATTAGCAGACCTTTTGTTCCCAAAGTAAATTGTCCTGCATGCCACAAAAGCCCTTTAGGAAAAGAGCATATAAAAATAACTGATGTTGGCCGGGCGAGGTGGCTCACACCTGTAATCCTAGCACTCTGGGAGGCCGAGGCAGGCGGATTACTCGAGGTCAGGAGTTCAAAACCAGCCTGAGCAAGAGCGAGACCCCATCCCTACTATAAATAGAAAGAAATTAATTAGCCAACTAATATATATAGAAAAAAAAAATTAGCCGGACATGGTGGCACATGCCTGTAGTCCCAGCTACTCGGGAGACTGAGGCAAAAGGATCGCTTGAGCCCAGGGGTTTGAGGTTGCTGTGAACTAGACTGACGCCATGGCACTCACTCTAGCTTGGGCAACAAAACAACAAAGCTTGAGACTCTGTCTCAAAAAAAAATAAAATAAAAAATAAATAAAAATTAAAATAAAAAAATAAAATAACTGATGTTCAAAAGATTAACCCTCACTAATGTTGGCATATTCCAAATCTAAATTCAATATGGTTAAAGAGAACAAGAAAAGTTAAGAAGTATGTTTCAGGTCCATGAGTTAAACCTCATCAATGATACAAGGTGGAAGAGGCAGTACTCCACCAACAACTTGGTGATTTGGCCGTCTATTTAGGCTATATGCAATAGACAAACTAAGCTTTGTTTTGTTTTGTTTCTGAATGTGTATTACTCCCTCTGCTACAATTCAGAAGCACCATCCCAGAACTTGATCATTTTGTGGTAGGCATTCTCATCTAAAATCAATGTGCACAGACATTAGTATCTTTTTCCCATGGTCACACAGGAGGTAAGCAGGTCAGACACCCTCCAAGCAACTAAGTGATATCTGTTCTCTCTTTCCTGAAGGTAAATCTGGAGATCCTTCTTTTATATGTGAGACTTCAGGGTTGGAAGTAAGGTTAAGAATGATGTATAATACATGAAGGCAACTTACAATATTGGAGGATAAAGCCATTTTTACAATAAAGTGGCAGGAATTACAAAGCAATAGTAGGTTAAAAAACAGGTAACTAATAATACAGTAAATAACGCTGACCCCTCAGAACTAATTAAAATCATGCCTACATGTTCCAGTCTAAATTGATGCATTCAGTACTGGCTACAGCAATCAATTTCCATTTCTAACACTTCTTGGGATACCAAGTTAATATTGAAACCAAGCAGACCTGGAGAATTGATTGAATAAACACCATATGAGACTTTGAAATACTCATGAAAAGAGAGTGTCATTGGGAGGGGATCCTGAAGGTGGGAATTAGCTCCTAACAGATCAATTTGGACATTTCATATTTAGCACTTAGAAGATCTCTCACAAAATGATGCAATGCATGATTTGTGCCAATGGCATTCTCTGTGCGACATCGTCAGGGAGAGTTTGTATGCACACAATTGGACAATTGTCAAAATTGAGACAGGAATAGGGTAATCAAAAGCAATCATAATTCAACATGAGGACAAAAAATACCCATAGAAGGGAATTAAAAATTTGAAAGTCAAAAAGAAGTAGTAATACTAGTAGTGATGGTGGTGGTGGTGGTGGTGGTGGCAGTAACAGTAGTAGTTCCAGTGTATCTGGGCACATTCCAGGGGGCACTTCTTCAGCACCCACCTGTTATCCTCAACTCCGGGAACTTCGATGTATAAAAATCAAGCTGAGCATGTGCAGGAAAATAGCTCTATATTGCCCCCTAGTGCTGGCCAGTCCCACTGATCCTTATGCTAAAAACTCCAAGATGAGTAGTTCCTCTACTTCTCCTTCCTTCCTGCTGCCAAGCCTAACATAGACCAACCCCCAAACATAGCCCAATCCTCTGCCCACAGATTAGGAAACAACCAGGCTATTTTTAGCATCATGCATCTTAGGAATGGAAATGGCACAGCCTCAGATGGCAACAGAATGTGTGGCCTGACTTAATGAACTCATCTCTCCTGAGGGTGTGAACCTACTTGGGTAAAGTGGCCAATGACCACATGCTTCATGAAAGCTTTGGGTCCCATTACAAAGTTATGATAGCATGGGGAACACAAAAGAGAACTACAAGGAAAAGACAAGGAGAGGCACAGGTTTGCAAAGGGAAACAGGGAGATGCCAAGACAGGCTTGACAAGACAAGGCAATAGGAGAAATGATATGGTACAGAAACAATAAAAAAATAGAAGACAGACACCAGGAATATTGCACATTGTTGTCATTATGGAGAAGTTTGTAAGAAGCAATATTTTGAACTGGACATTTATTTTACATTAGAAAGAACAAAGGTTGTTCTGATCTGTTTCCTGCCCGGGTACAGCTGGTGCTGAGGCTCCTTTGATCACTTTCCCCTAGTTCTCTGCAGCTCCTGTGATTAGAGATAGATCCCTAGGCTGCCCTTTGATCAGCAGCTGAAGGAGCCTGCAGGTGCCATGTGCCATCACATTAACAAGTTGTAAGAAGCAACCACACTGATATTGGCTGATAAATGTGATACAATGTCTTGCTGCACAAGCAATCAAGACAAAAAAATGTTTACAAAAGTACCAGGAATCCTTATTTTATCTATTTTTAGTCTCTAGAACTTTCTGTGCTTTCTTAAAGATGAACACTTCATAGAGCTTAAATTCAAAGTTGAAGCTTTGAAACACCCCAATATGTAAAGAAAAACACACTGTGACTTCAACATACAGCACACCAGAGTCTGATTTTCTAGCTATGCTGCTTGTGTGCATATCGCCTGGGTAATGAAGTGACAGCATGCTTGCATTCTGAGTAGACGACATACAAAGCAGTAAAAACATGGACATTTCTTTTCAAATATGGTAATAGTCGCCACTTGTAAACAGGGTGTTAAATATTCCAATTTTAGACAGCCTACATTAACATTGTGGTTTCATGTGCAGTATAAAATTTCTATTTACAAAGTATTCTCAAAAATGACTTCATAATGGTAGATCAAGAGAAAAAGAGTTTTGAAATGGAATGATGTAAATCATATGGGTTCAGAGGCTAAGCAAATTACACACCCTGAAGCTGCCCTGGCTTTATGAAAGGAGCCTTTCTCCAGCTCTGTGCAATCCCAGCCCAAGGGAACTTGCATTTGAGAGTTTTCTAAACATTTCAGGTACACTTGAAAGCTAAAAGTAATTCTCATTTCCTATGCAGGATTAAGTCGTTTCCAGCACACACAAAATAGCAGTCATTCACCAACACATACAAAAACACACCACCAGAAAGGTAAGGACTTCAGAGTACAAAGGCACGTTAAAAAAATAGAGTGCAAGAGAAAAACATTTTTTAATTCCTCTAAAAGTGTCCACGCGGCCTCTTGACCTCTATATTTCCTATATACTTATTGATTAATTGATGCCTTCCACCTAGAGTGCTTCAATCTGTGCGGCTGACACATTTCCTGAACACCCCCTCCCCCCAAAAAATCTGAGTAAAGTCAAACATCCCAAGACTCATTCATTTTGGATTCGTTTTTTAAGAGGCAGTTCTTGAACTTCTAACTCTGGCAAGGAGCGATCCTGCAGTGTGCGTTTGAACTGACGTTCACGATCTCTCCCAGAACGTCCTCAACTCCAGCAGAGGCTGCAGTGGCACGCACGTTGCCCTGGAAGAGCTTCGCGGCAGCTCCCGAAGTTGCAAACTACCAACAGTCGGTGCCAACGAACCGAGCGCGCATTTGCATGGAAAGAGAGACGAGGCTACCTCTGCACGCTGGTGGACATCACACCCCGACGCACAATGCCAACGCTCACACACTCACACACACACACAGCGAGGAAGGAGAACGGGGAGAGTGAGGGAAAGACTCACCGTTCTGTTCCTTGTTGCTGGAGAGCTGGAATTTACTGCTCAGGTTGGACTCAGCCTGAGTCCCCTGTCTCTGGCCGGCCAGGGCAGATGTCAGCAGGAGAAGCCCGAAGAGGAGCATTTGGCTGACTGGGGCGAGAGCTCACTCACGGCGGGCACTTGGGAAGCAGCGACTCCAGAGTCTCTCTCACCACCGCCAGGGGAAGGCTGCACTGGGGTGGAAGCGCCGAGCCTGCTCTGGCAGCAGAGAATCGCAGGGTAGTTTCCACATAATCCCATCCAAAACTTTTTCCTAGAGCCCTCTTCTGTGTCTCCAGTTTTTGAAAAGGATCAAAGCAAAACCTGGACCTGAACCAGTTTCCCAAGGTTTAAACAAATCCTGAGCTGTGCCGGAGTGGTGGGGGTGGGGGTGAAGGCGAAAGAGGAAAGAGGGGGTGGGGACGCGGGGGAGCCGCGGGAGCCGCGAGAAGTCACCAGCAAGTTGCTGGGAGCACCTGTCAGCTTCGGGGACAGGACGGAGGCGAAGACTCAGGGGTCGCGCGAAGCCAGCCTCGAAGCCAACCCGGCGGCGGCGAGCAGTTTGTGATCAATAACAAAGCTGCCAATAGATGCGGCTCTCCGGGCGCCCCTCTCCCCCGCCCCGGCCCCACCCCCACCCCCGAAGGGGGAGGGGGAAGAAACCAGGCGAGGGCGCCGCGGCGGGTCCCCGGGGCCGCTGCGCGGGAGCGGGGCCGGGGGCTCCGGGCCGAGGGCGGCCCGGGCGCGGGCGGAGGGAGGCCGCGGGGCTCCCGCTCCCCAGCCCGGCGCGCGCTCTGCGCCGGGTCCCGACCGCCGCAGCACGGATCCCGGCACCTGGCTTGAGTTTTCCGCGACCAAAGTTCACCTTGTTCGGGCGCGTCCCCCGCTCCACGAAGCCGAGGGGAATCCAGCAGCTCGGGGTCACCACGGGGCTCCGGTCGGCCCCCGTCCCCTCCCCCACGCCCCGGGCTCCGCGCTAACCTCGGGGCTCGGCGCGGCGTCTCCGCGCGGGGTGGAGAGGGAAGGCCGGGGCGGCCGGAGGATCCGGCTTGTCCCCTCCCCTTCGCTACCTTCCCCCCACCCCACCCCGCCGAGCCCGCGGCAGGCGGGAGGTGGGGGCCGTGGGCCGCGCGCGGGCGGGGTGCGGGCGGGCGAGAAGGGGGAGGCCGAGCGGCTCTCCGCGGGCCGCCGAGGGGGCGGGCGGGGGTCGGCGCCTCCGGGACACGCAGCCCGTCCGGGTGGCGCGGGCTTGGGCCG